CTATCGGCTTCCTCCAGAGGTGTAATCCCGGTTTAAGCACTGCAGACAGACAGACGGAGAAATCAAAGAAATTTAACAAAGTTTCCTCTCGACACCTCAATTAGCTTTGGATTTGTTCTTTAAGACCAAAGTCTTAAGCTATTTCGGAAAGCCTCTGAATACATTCGAAAACTTAATAATACTTATGAAAGTGTTTTCTGGAAAATAACCCAAATATTTCTAAATGCAAGAATGTGTGTGAGTTTTGATCAATTTAAAATATGTCCTTGGAAAGTATGTCTAACTATACTAGTTACTGCATTACTGTGATGATTTATTTATTGTTCAAGGACATTAGGGACTGCAGCATTAATTGACATATTTTCCATGAATAACATTTAAAACCTTCATGAAACTATCTTTGGTTTTGAATAGCTTACTTAAAAGTAACAAGATCATAGAAGATACAACGTTTAACATTACATAATTTAGAAAGTATACCCTGAAGGGAAAAAATTGAAAGTCTGTCATTAATGCAATTAAGAATACTTACTTAGTTTCTGACCCACGCATTGGGAGTACAATTAGTTAAATTTTAGCGAATTTCCCATATAGGGAATAGGCTATTACCGTAGTACTCATGGTAAGACCTGGACCCGGGACCGATTTTTTTTCGTTTTGAGGTCCCTAGAGGCCAAAAATAGCATCTGTTCAAATTAATTCCTGTTATATTTATTTATTTATTTATTATTTTCTTGCATTTTTAGGGCTACTCATATAATAAAATTAAAACATATATAACAAAGTACCCTTTTAGTAATTATTTTATTTTTCATGACGACATGTTTCGGAACTAAGTCCATTGTCAAGTCATTTTTACCATAACCTCATTCTTTAAACTAACAAAATTAAAAATATAATCATATGTAAAAATAATAAAATATGTTAACTAAATCTTAATACATTTTGGTATTAATTTTTTCATTATACTATATGAATGTTTTTCTTTCTTTCCTTAGTTTTTCAATTTTATCGTAGATAGGTTGGTTTAATTTTGGAATCATTGTGTTGAGTATGTTGTTGGGGTCCTTTTTGTTGTGTATATAAATATTTAGCTCTTCTTTTACATTAAGTTTCTCACGTTCTTTTTCAAATTCTAAAATTGTTAGATTTTCTTTCATGTTTTTATAACTGTGGTCTGTGTTCATTATATGGTCGGCGAAGTTCGACTTCATTGATGTTTGATTTTTTGATTTCAATGCTTGTAGATGTTCCTTGAATCTTGTTTTAAAACTTCGAGATGTTTGACCTATATAATAATTGCTATTTATATACCGTATATATGTGTCCGTTAGCACGATAACTCGAGCAAAGATAATCCGATTTTGATGAAATTTGGTACAAACTTGTAAACCTACGTTTATTCGAACGAGTTCGCGAACCAGCATGATCGGACCATGGGAACGGGGGTTTATGGGGGCTTTTATGGGGTAAAAATGGGTTTTTCCCATTTTTGACCTAAAAAAACTTAAATTTTTGCAATTTCTTTACAAACTATTTTGTAGAGCTTAAAAAAACAAATAATTTAGTATATTGAAGCGTTGTAATGCGCCTAATGGTTACGGAGAAAATTCAAAAACATTGTAAATTGAAAATTCCCATGTTATTCTTATGGAGGATAAGTAAACTGTTGTAGTTTGCTTATTTATTAACATATTTTGCCCAAATTTGGAAAATGTTTTTATTTCTTACTAACTATTAACATTTTACATAAAAAATCACTTTAACCCTCCCTGTTGCAGCAAACCTAAGTATGTGTTAAACTGATTTGATTTAAATAGGGAATAAATGTGATATTTTTAAGGAGACATTTTAGTGTAAATCCAATCAGGCAAATGGAAATTCGCTTAGTCTGCAGGTTTGCTGTGGCGGGGGTATTTTTTTCGTATCACAACTCTAAAATAAAGTAAAATTGGTCCAACTATGGAACTATGGTTTTGATTCAAAAACGTAAAGAAATTGTGAAATGACCAACGTGGTAAATATATCGAAATAATTGTTTCTTAACATAGTGAGACACTCGATAAAACTATGAATACATAGTGCAACAAAGTTACAAAAACATAAAATTTTAAATTGTTTTATTGAGTTGTGGATGATGTGGATATCGGTCTGCAAGAGTGTTGCAGTAAGCTGTAAAGCGATTGACGGCGCTGAGCGGCTTGAGCATAATTTGCTGCGGATCACAACACAACACTTACACGACGGATGTCTTGTACACCTGATGGGAGGGGAGGGGAGAGGGAGGTGTTTAACACAGCATCATCCTGTTCTTGCACATTCTCCTTGAGGTAATACAGTACTAAACTGGTACCTGGAGAGATTGTAAACTTAAGTTGATCTGTGACTAATTAAGTTTATCGCTATAGTGTCCCTTGAATTGTATACCGTCGTGTTTAAAGTAACGGATTTTTACGAGTTTTGATTAAATAAGAAATTTTAAACCTCCTACTTTCATAGCTTCAATATGTTTTTAAAACATTCCAACTATTTTAATAGGTATTTTTCCATAGTGTTTTTAATTTTTAACAAATAATATAGTCACTTTGATGATTTTAAATGTTTTGTTAGTAGTTTAAACATGTCTTTATTACACTATAAGCTGTTATTAAATCACCAACCTTTAAACTATAAAACTCCAAATGTTTGTCGTTTTTTATAATCTATTTTCTTGGGATAGTTGTTTTCTGTTATTTTGGTTGATGGACGTTGGTACACATTGTTTTAACTTTATGCAACAAACAATCTTGAAACGAACCTCCCGTGCAATTAACGTTCTTCTCAGCCGTTCCAGTCTTCTCTGATGCACAACACCGTCGTAGCAACCCATAAACCGTCACCCACATGCAACTCTCATGTATCACAATTAACATGGACACAAGTTGTACCCCCACTCTACCCCCTTTGTCTCATGACGTCACGCTAGGGGTGAGTGCGTGTCGCAGCGAGCGGTGAGGGTAGTTCTAGTATTAAACGTATGATGAAAATGCGGAACGAGGTGTTCTTGAGTGCGGCTTGTCACTCAATTACCTAGACTTGCGTGTTAGACGCACATCCTACGAGAATTATCCCGGTTATGGTTATTGTACGCTATGAGGCATGTTGAGTCCCCTGTCGTCTTGCCGTTGTTCGTGGTGGTTTATGTGCAAGGGTTGCGCTTGTGCTAGTCGGTACCGATTTTGATGATTTATATTCATGTTTAGTGGGATTGAAGAAGAGTTTAATTTCCCAAATATTGGTGTTTCATTTGCATGTTTAAAGGAGTATATAGAAAAATAGAAACCTAATTTATAAAATCAATTTATATATATATTTTCACTTAGTATATGTGTGCCTGAACATAAGTCAATTTCAAAGTTACAGTAACACAGTAACAGGAACCATATCTCTATCAAATACACTCCAATAAGCTGGATTTGCTTGGGGAGAAAACACCATTTCTATTCCAGGTCAGACTAAGAGGGATTTTTAGAACAAACTGGAAACATATTAACTTCTGATACATCTAACAATCTCCGTGCATTAGATTGTAATACTAGCATTAATACAAAGGATATTATTAAATTTAAGGAGATAAAAACCCTCAGGAGGGATTTGACGGACAGGATAGGGAGAGGGCAACTGAAGGGGCGGCGGATTGTCCATCTTGGGCGGTCGCCAAATTAATGGATGGCTTGAAAAACACACCGTCTAAAAATTTATGCATTAATTAGCATCCTCGAAAATTGGAATGTCGTGTAGGGGCGCGCGGCCGCCACCTCTCATTTTTTAATTGCAAATGACATTTTTGCAGATGATAAGTCGGCGAGAGCGGGTCGTATTCATTAATTTGTAGCTCCCCGGCCGCAAGATCCGCGATTGAATAATTCATCTTTCGAACTGATTGTTTAAAACAATTCGCTGGGCTTTGTCTTCCTTTTATTCCGCTGTAGTGACGAGTTTTTGTAAACAGAGGGGATTTCAAAATTGAGGGCAACCCTTTGCAATCAGCTATATTTTTAAACGTCATACCAAACAGTTTTGCAATGAAACGGATTTTAGCGAACTTCCCAATTGGGAAGTAGCTATTACCGTATGTCTCATGGTAAGACTAGGCTCAGGACCGATTTATTTTTTCATTTTGATGTCCAGAGGCCAAAAATACTAATCGTTCAAATGCATGTATATAAATACGTCCGTGCGATACTTAAACGCGATAACTTGAGCAATTTTTGTCCAATTTCGATTAAATTTGGCAAGAAGGTGTAAGGCGCGATAAACTTGAATGAGTTCGCGAACCAGCATGATCGGGCTATGGGAACGTTGTTTTATGGTTTAAATTGGGTTTTCTAAATTGTTTACCCTCAAAACAAAAAAAATCTCAATTTCTTTCTAGACCAATTTAAAGAGCTTAAAAAAATAAATTAGTATATAAAGTTTTTTTTTTAGTTATTAGTTACGGAGAAAATTCCAAAAACCGTAACTGTAAAATTCCTATAATATTATTATGTAGAATATTGTACATTGTCGTAGTTTTGCTCGTTTGCGGATATATCTTGATCAATCTTGGAATTTTTATATTTTATACTGGCCTATTGATATTTTACTAAAAATACACCTTATTAGCATCCCTGTAGCAGCAAAACCTAGGTACTCGTTAACCTTATTTTATTTAAATAGACTAAACTGAAAATCAAATCAGGCAAATGGAAATTCGCTTGGTCTGCAAGTTTGCTGTAGCGGGGGTATTTAGAACTTTAACTGTTTCTTATAATTGTATTGTGTCATTATGACAGCCACCATTCATAAATTAAGTTCAACATGTTAATTAAATTAGATTTGTAAGAATGGCCTAGAGCAAAGTTAGAAAGTTTACTAATATTATTTAGCATAGTGATATTGAATTATTAAACGCGTTTTATTTAGTTGATTAAAACAATTAGGGACAAACCTTTAGTCTCACAAGGATTATTCTGTTTCAGGCCTCTGTCCACTGTCACTGAACTCCCTGGATCAAGTCCGCTCACGCAGGCGGCCAAGAGACGTGCAGAAGCGCAGAAGAATAGAAACTCTGATGTCCTGCGACGACAAAACATGGTGAAGAAGGAAGAAGTCATTGTAGACGAGACGACGGTCAAGAGAAGGCGGAAAAGTGCAAAGAACAACGACCAAAATGACGACGACCATGACACCAAGCCAGTATTGCTCCCTCAGAAGAAACGAGCGTTTGTGTCCTCCTCACCCAGTCAGAGCCCAGCGAAGAAATCCTCAAAGTCAAACAATAATTCTGGAGAAGGAAATGTTGACAATGAGACACTGATAAGAGAAACTGAGGCTGACCTGAAGAGCCTCTCAGGTAGTTGGCCAGGTCCTCGGTTGGCGTTTTACAACAGAGGTATCGCTGATGCTGAGGAGCCAGGTTTTGAAAATCTTTTTGATGAGAAGAAAAACAACATCGCAAATGGCACCTCGTCTACATCATCATCCAACAACGGAGACAACTCTTCCTGCTCGTTGAAAGACGTCATAACCTTGAGGGAACAAGACGCGAAGGCAACAAAAAACGACGTTCACTCAACCAACGGACCACCTGGGAAAAGTGAGCATGTCAAGTCTTCTCAGAGCAACAAAACGCCAACGAACTCTCAAAGAGAAGGAAAGGAACTACCTAAAACTGTGCAAGAAAGGAACTATTTAGAGAGTCTGATAAAAATCGAGAATGAGTGTGACTCGATACAATCACAAGCCAAAACAAAGCCAAAGAATGACGATTCTAAGTCAAACGACAGGTACTCAAACGGCCAGAGGTACGAGCCTGACTTTAATGAATTAGTGGACGACTCTTCAAACGACCTTGAAATTGACATGGAAGTTGACGAGCGGTCTGGAAAAGGTGAGAAGAAAAAGAGAGACGACAAAGGAGACAAAACCAAAAATTTGGGAAACCATTATACATCTCAGAAGTCTGAAAAGGGAAAGAACTCTACTCCAGCGGTGTTTACAGCACCTAACTTTCGTGATGGTAAGGAACCGAAGATTGCAACGTCTTTGGACCCAATAGGACCGTTCCCAGCGGGAGCCACATTCGTAGGCTATCCACCAGCGGCTGCAGCACCTCCCCCTCGTCCTGAGGAGAAACCCTCGACTGTTCATCTACTTCCACTCAAACCAACCCCGGCCAAGGTGGAAGCTGAAGAGACTGCTGCTGTGACGTCTAGCAAGGTGTCCGCGTCTTCCCCTGACTCCAAGCAGTACACAATCCTGCAGCCCGCGGGTGCCGGCTCCAGGGCCGCCTCCGCCATACAAGACGCTGCTGGGGTGCCTGCCGTCAGTAGCACATCTTCTGCAGACAAGGACGGCAGCCGCAGTGGCAGCAATCTCTCACCTATTGGCAAAGGTAACTTGCTATTTATCTTGATATCAGTTTAGTCTATGACCCATATGTAGATAATAGACACAGAGCAAATTTAGCCAACTAATGTGTCTGCGTTAAAGGTTACATTTACAGTCAAAACATTAGTTCAGTGTTTATGGTAACGGTTTAAGCTTTTGTTGCCTTTGCCCACTTAATTATAAGAATATACAACAAATACAAATTGAATTAAACACAATAGTGATTTAAATTTTTGTTACATGCGATCGCATCCAATTATCATTCCACAAAACAAATATTAGTGTGTATTATTATAGCTAAATAAATTTCTTAAAATTCTTAAAGGGTTATATTAAAACATGTTTATACTTCTTATTACCTTAGGGGAGAGTACCTATTATACCGTATATGCTAATTGGTTGCTACATAATTTCTACAGCGTCCTTTTGGAATTTAAGATTTATTGAAGTAGGCTTTTTATTGTTTCAAAATTAAAATAATCAGCATCAGCAATCTGACACATACATTCTCCCGGAAGCAAGTAAACAATCCTTATTATGAGTAAGCAGAGGGAGTAGTCATGACTTTTTATGTGGAAAATCACAAAAGTTGCAATACCTTAATTTGAACCATAATTTTTACAGCAATAATTTTACACCATTTTGTTTAGTCTTAAAAGGGCCATAACAGTTTTCAATAAGCAACAATCGCACCTCAGTTAACTTCGTTGGTTACATACTAAATCGTTATCAAACCCGGTCGATCCAGTTTTTAACTCGATTTTCCGTTATTATATGAGTTTTTATAGGAAAACCCCATAAAAAATCAAAATAAAAAAAATAATAGATATTCCGGATATATAATGGCTTAGTATCCACATACTAAATTCAATCAAAATTGGATCATAGGTGTGATCTGCAGCTTTATACACATCCAGACATACAGACAGACACACACACACACACAGAGAGATTACTTCGAAAACCAGTTTTTTTTTTTTTTTTTTTTTTTTGTTCAGGGGGACCTAAAACTCAAACTTGATAATTTTGACGAAAACAATACTCTATTTTCTATGGGAATAACATAAAAATATAAATTACTAAACTCCGTGTGACCAATAGTTGTATTATAAAACAACATAGCGTCGCGCCTTCAATAGTTTGTCTGCAAAACAGACTCTGTATTTGAATTGCCAGGTGCGCCGTGGTAATTGTCAAACACATTGACATTGATCAAAACATTTTAAAATTCAACATTAACATTTCAACATATGAACAACTCAACATACTTAGTTTACTCAACACAATCTAATTAAAGCATCCAATGGCTTCATTCATTAGGTAAAGAAATTTAGGATTTCTTTTATTATTCCCCTTAGTTTCAATACGATTATTATACAATTTTCTATTAGGAATATCGCTTTCTATTCAATAGGTATACTTATTATTTTACATTAAAGGAGGTCGGTATAAGCCTATAAACCTACTAATATGAGAATGTCTTTATTTTCATACCAATAGTAAATACATGCTGTTAAACCTGACAACAATATACTAATGTTATTAATGCATACTAATGTAGGCCTTATTAATATTTGGAATTCGTATAGTATACTGTATTGCAAAGAAAACTAGCGTGACTAACATATTTCTTTGTTAAATAATTTATTATAGCAATAAACCTACGTAACTAATAAAACATTAAACTTATTCTGCACAATTTTTTTCAATTGTAGATATTGCTTTATCAAAGTAGAAACTAAACTTCAAACATAAATAAAAATTTAACATATTGAAAACACTCTTTTTCTCTGTCTTGTCATGTTGGGTTTGGGTGAACACAGAAGCTTATCATCTAAATGTATTATTTGCTAGAAACCTTATCTTCAACCAAATGCTGACAAGTTGACATCAGTGAAAGACACCAAAAACTTCTACCCTTAAAAGCTTCTCTATCCAAATCGAGGTTAAATATTTGCTCGCAAGATTGCAGGTTTCAAAGAGATTCGTTCGCCGTCAGATAAAGTAAGACTTATTAGCAGTGTTGACGCACAGTCCGACTTCACGACTTCGACTTGCCTTAATTACCTCCAGTTACATACATTTGCATTTTTCGACGCGCCGAGCCGTCGGAGTCGCTTTTGACTAAGTTTAATTGCCCACTAATGAGTTAGTACCCGAACGTTCTTTCCCTTAAAACGCTTTTTGAACTAGATTTAATGAGTTTTGCCTGAGAATGTTTGGAGTCTGAAATTCGCGAGTGTGTTTTAGAGTAAAATTGAAGATACGATTTATGAAATCCGGAAACATTTTCTATTTTTTATTATTATAAGAAATAGTTTTGTTTTATTTTTGTGGTTTACCTCCTAAATCTTTGGCGCAGCCTCCACTTCTTCTCTAAAGTCCTGGGTTCAAATTCTACTAACCTAAGATTGTTATTGATGTGATAATGCCATAGCCTATCATGAAAACACATCATATAATAGGTCTAAAGACAATATTTGTCTTTTGAAGAGTTGGCAAAATACCTATAAGGTATTAAGATATTTAATTCTTCAACTACCGTAATTAAAAACTATCTTCTAAGAGTTAATATTCTATGAGAGGACCCAAGCGGTAATCATCTCTTGTTCACAATCTGACTGTGGTTAAACATTCAATTGGAGGATTACCTGTTAAATTATTACAACTCACATTTAAACAGCTGTAAAGAAAGTTGGTCAGCATCACAATATGGATCTTTGAAAATTCACTCTATAAATAAATTAAAGTCAAGGAGGACAAACTAAAGGTTACAGTTCCTATAGGTTACTTTTTACTTTACAGTTCGTCACTCCGCTAGATAATAAGCTTTAAAATGACACATCAATTGTAAAAACTTGGTTTAGTAGGACGGCTGCAAAAGGGGTGTTACAGAGATATCTCTTAAATGAATAGAAGCGAGAAGATATTTTCGGAAGTTTTGGGAGATTCCAATATTTATAAACATTCCACGGATTACATTTTATTATAATCTGGCACATTTCTCATAAATACAATGTCAAGTCATGCATATCACCTTCATTCGTATAGTTTTGCATCTGTATTTGGAAATGTCAAGTGTTTTATACAGTAGTTAATAAATTAGTAACATGCTTTATACAGTAAAAATAACAATTTTCAATCAAACTGGCGACATTTCTACATACTCATTCTTAATTTCATCGGAGGAGAAATGTTTATTTTGACTAAAGAACTAACAGTGCATAAGTGTCCCTTGATCTCTACGATTTTTCGTTGGCCAGAAGGATAAAACATTCTTTGATTTGATGTTATTCGCCGTTAATATTTTATATGCGAGTTATATACAATATACACACTTCCATTACGATATTATTAATCGTACTATGCATAGATTTATACGACGAATTGCCGTAATACAGTATAGTAGGCCATCTGCAAAGGTTTGGTGTGAAATTGTTTAATTAAAGGTGTCATAAGTAGTTTTATTCATGGTGGAAGAACTATTTTTGATAGACAAATTGCGTTTGATCCCTCTCGGCTCTCACTCAGTCCAACGGCTGTTGCTTGTTCACACAATCAACCGTAGTATTGTATCATTCCCAGATTATAACTACCCACTATCTGCAATTCCTCCACGTCTGATTGCACATTGCAAGTCAATGGGGGATACAGTTAGTTGATCCAACTATAATTGCAGGTGACTCACGTCCGGGTGTAATCCCGGATCTGACGCGTGATTGCATCCAGTCGTGGGATGCACTTTAATGCAGTCAGATGTGTTTTACCAGCTCTGCAGTCTACAGTCTACACAATCATCACGTCTGTGTCCCTCTGACTTAGGATCATCTATGTTAGATAAAATGTTAAGTGTGGGGTTTTTATATTGCTTTAGCGTTTATTCCTAATTACACTATAGAATAGGCACAAATATTGCCAAAACTAATAAAATTGCCTTTGTGCCAAAACGAATTTATGAGTATACATAATTACCTTATTTATCGATCAATAATAACTGCTATACAAAATATTTTCAAACTCGGAACTTTGGAAACTGTTTATATTATATAATATAGTAAAATCACTAGATATGCACAGTTAAACATTTCTGTGTGAAGCTTTAACTCGGCTATACGACAAATTATTATATATCACATGCTTAATGAGGATTATTTGGCCAAACTAGGATGGGAATAGAAGATTATGGCTGATTACTGACTGTAAACAACAGTTAAACACGTTTACTCCCGCATTTACTTGACTGAAATAGTATAATGCATCATTATGGCGTAAAGTGACTCTTTTTGACCCCAGTTCAAGTTTTACGATCGAGGTGAAGCTGGGATCAGAAAATGAGTGAAGGTTGAAAAGAGACTCTTTTCCTGTGTGATGAACTATATTTTTCGTCAATCATTTAGAACATTACGATTGGGGTAGTGTACATCATACCATCGATATGTCAAACCAATTGAAATCTATCTATATATTAATACGCAAGCAGGTTTCTTTTCACAGTCATAACTCAATAACGGTTCGACGGATTTTAACGTTTGAGGTGTCAAATTAAAGGTATTTTCACGCAGATGTGCAAATACGTCTCAGAATATTAAGAAAGGGCACCACTTAAGTACACTTAAGGGCTAAAGTTTGGTAGGAGGCGCTATCTGTTGACATTAGATCAAACTCATTTCCCTTTGTTTACAAATAACATATGGACGTAGTTTGAAATAGTTTTTAAGGTTAACCACAGACTGCAGGACTTAAAACTTCCAGAGCAAAGCCGGAATAGATATTTTCATTTAAACGTCTGTTAAATAAGTCTGGTTCATAAAATAGTTTCCTAGCAAAACTTGATAACACATTGTTAGTAATATTTGAATTAATTTAACTTTCTTCTTATTTTACTGAATTACCATGTAGTTTTGGTTACAGTTCGGTGTGATGAACAAGTGAATGTTTGAAAGTGATTATTCTTAGTGCAGTTACCCACCCGTTGCATTACCGTATCACGTAATTTACAATGTA